GTGTCAGAGGCGGTGCGGTTGGCGCAGGATAGAGCAGGGTTTAGAGCTGTTGTACATAGGGTCGCTATGAGTCGGAAACAACTCGATGGCACATAACAACAACAACAAGCAGGATTTTAGTACATGTGATATTAGTAATATTGTTTGGTGATTTCTATACTCTGTTGGTTCTCCTTTTTTTTTTTTTAATATGGAAATAAATATGGATCTCTTCCAGTCAGTTGGCCAGGTGGTTGTTCTCCAGATTTCTTGGCACTGCTTGGTGAGCATGTCCAGGGCAGCATCTGTCTGTTGAAATATGTCAATTGTTATTCCATCAATTCCTAGGGCTTTATTTTTTTCCAGCTCCTTCAGAGCAGCTTGAACTTCCTCTTTCATCACAATTGCCTCTTGATCATCTATTGTTTTATGAAATTCTTCTGTGTCATCTAGTTCTTTTTGGTACAGTGATTCTGTGTACTCTTTCCATCTTCTTTTCATGCTTCATGGATCATTCAATATTCTGCCCATAGCATCCTTAAGCATTACCACTTGAAGCTTGAATTTCTTTTTCAGTTCCTTCAGCATAAGAAATGCTGAGCAAGTTGATGCCTTTTGATATTCTGACTCTAGCTCTTTGCACATTTCATTGTGATACTTTGCTTTGCTTTCCTGAGCTGCCCTCTGACATCTGTTCGACTCCTTAACTTTCTGGTTTCTTCTCTTTGCTTTGGATTCTTAGCATTCTAGTGCAATATTCAGAGTTTCTTCTGGCATCCTTCTCAGTCTTTTCTTCCTCTGTCTTTTTAATGTCCTTTTGTGTTCTTAATATCTTCCCATAGCAAATCTTCATTCATTAGTGCTCAATACCTCAAACCTGTTTTTGAGATGGTTTTTTAAATTCAGATGGAATAGACTCAAGGTCGAATTGTTTTCCTTTTCTTTAGCTTCAACTTGCACTTGCATACCAGTAGTTGATGGTCCATCCACAAACTGCACCTGGCCTTGTTGGGCTTTATGAGAAGGAATGTGGCATCAGAAAGGGAGGAAGGCTCATCAACAACCTACATTGTGTAAATGATACAACCTTGCTTGCCAAAATTGAGGAGAGCCTAAAGTGTTGCTGCAGAAGGTTGAAGACTGCAGTCTTCAATATGAATTGAAGCTCCACATCAGTAAGACAAAGATTTTCAGCGCTGGGCCAATTGGCAGCATCATGATGAAGAGGAGATTGAGATTGTTAACAATTTCACCTTACTTGGTTCTACAATCAGCACTCTTGGCAGGAAATCAAACTCTCAGCCAGGAAATCAAAAGACAAACGGCTGTTGTTGTTAGATGTCATCAAGTTGCAATTAGTCTTTTGATTTCCTGACTGCTGGTGCCAAGAGTAAACGTCATTGAGAAAATTTGCTGTTAGGGACCTTTCTAGAGTGCTAAAGAGCAACAGTATCACTCTGGAGACTAAGATATATCTGATCCAGGCCATGGTCTTTGCAATTACTTGTTATGCATCAGAGAGCTGGACAGTGACTAAGGATGACAGGATGATCGATGCTTTTGTGTTGAAGAGTCCATGGACTGCAAAGAAAACAAATTTGTCCTGGAGAGGATAAAACCAAGTTACTTCTTAGAGACGAGGACTTTGAAGTTCTGTTTCACATATTAGCAAGTTGCCAGAAGGGACCACTCCTTGGAGAAGGACATCATGCTTGGAAGGGTGGAGGGGCAGTGCAGAAGAAGAAGAACCTGGATGAGATGGATTGACACAGTAACTGAGGTAATGGAGTTAGATGTGTCAGAGACAGCGAGACTGGCTCAGAATAGGGCAGAGTTCAGACCTATTGTGCATAAGGTCACAATGAGTCACAGGCAGCTGGACAACACATAACACCATGGGCCATAGTCAAGAAGTTGGACTCTGTGAAGAAGAATGTGGCATCTGGACTGGAGGAAGACTCATCAGTAACCTGTTATGCAGATGACTCAACCTTACTTGCTGAAAGTGAAGAGAACTTAAAATGCTTGCTACAGAAGAGCAAAGACTGCAGCCTTAAATATAAATTGCATCTCAACACCAAAAGAACAAAAATTCTCCATCACTGGACAGATAGGCAACATCATGATAGATGGACAAAAGATTTTAACGGTCAGTGACTTCATCTTACTTGGTTCTACAATCAATACACTTGGTCTTCAGTCAGGGATCTCTCCAAATTATTGAGGAGCAATGATGCTAGTTTGAGGACTAAAGTATACCTGATGTAAGCCATGATCTTTTCAATCACTTGTTGTGTTACTAAGAGGTGGACAGTGAATAGGGATGATAGAGGAATTGATGCCTTTGAGTTGTGATGTTGGAGAAGAGTATGGCACATCCGTGGATTGCCAACAATACAAATAGATATGTTTTGGGGAAAAGTTCAACCAGTGTGCTCCTTGAAGGCAAAGATGATAAAGGTTTGTCCCACATACTTTGGGCATGTTCTTAGGAGAGGCTTTTTCTTGGAGAGGAACATCATACATGAAAAAGTGGAGGGATAGTGAATTAGAGGAAGACCCTGAACCAGGTAAACTGACAGAGACTGCATCAGTGGGTTTGAGTGTGTCAGAGAGCATGGGGGTGGCCCAGGAGAGGAAAGGGTTCAGATCTGTTGTTCATAGGGTTGCTATGAGTCATACTCATATGAGTCAGAGTCTCTCTTGGGTTTCACCATTCTCTACTGGAATTGTAAATGTGACCTTTTTCATTGAGTTTTGTTCAACATTCTCCTTTCTTTATTCAGGACTTTCTACTGTATTCGAGTAGTCAGCATCAGTGGCCTGGCACCCTCTGGTTCTTGTGGTCTCAGGAGTCCTGCTCCCGCTTGAACACTGCTGTTTTCTTGTTGGCCTGTCTTTCCCCAGGGTAACTCATCATTCAGGTTATCTTATGGTTTCCTTAGAGAACTTGAAGACGTTTTCCTTCCCTACTAAGTTAGGTGCACCCACTCCATCTTCTGCTGTGTGAAGAATGTGGGTTGGGTAGGGTTGCATTCTGTTGCACATGGAGTTCTTGTGACTCAGGTGATTCAGAGGCAGCTCAGAGCAACAACAGAATCTCCCTCCTCCCAAAATCCACAATCAAACTTATTGAGCCATTGAGTCAATTCTAAGTCTATTGATCTTCTATCTGAGGCTGTAAATCATCCTGAGGGGGCTCTGATGGGGCAATTAATCTGTAGAGTGTTGCACTGCTACTCCAAAAGCTGATATTGTCTGGTGTTGAAGGAGAAAGATGGACAATTTTCTGTCATCCCATTTATAGGCTTGCAAATCCAATAAAGGATCAGCTCAGGATCACCTTAGATATCATCTGGAGCATGATAGAGTTTTGTTGTTGTGCAGTGTCGAGTTAGAAACTACTCATAGCTGACTACCCAGTAGGCTGTAAATCACACAGGAGGAGATTGTCCATCCTTCTCCCTCTGAGCAGCTGATGGATTCAAACCATGTGCCTTTTGGGTTGGCAGCACAACTCCTTAACTGCTAACGGAAAGGTTGGTGGTTCTCCTCCCACAGAGGTATAGCCTCGGAACCAATGGAGGATTGCTTCAAGTTGAAAATTACTTGATGGCAGTGGAATTGGTGTACATATTTAATTGGGACTTTTTGAAGTTGAATGATTACTAGGAGAGGAAGATAAGGGGACTTAGTATTAACCATTTCCCTCTTGTATTTAGATAACAAAAAGGTATCCTGAAGCAGAGGTCAAAATATTTGGAAGCAAGGTGATGCAGACGAAAGCAAAAGCCGTAATCGATACTATTGTTCAAAAGCAAGAAGAAAACTACAATGCAGAATCCAGAGTTAGTAAGTAGTTATTTCTTCCGAGGATCTTGAAAAAGTTTTAAGATTTATTTAGATGTTGTGAGCCTCTGAAAGCTGATTCCTTTCCTCGTAATGCTTTGTGTATGTGTGAATATTTTTCTCAGAAAGCCCAGAATACCTCTTCTGAAAGGATTTTATAAAAAGATCTGATATCTCGGTGGGTAAGCAAGATAGTGTTTAGCCACAAATAATGGAAAGCTCTAAATTACCTTTTACTGAACCTTAGTATTACTGATAACTTAAGAATTGATCTTTGTGCCCTACATTGTTGGTGTCTTCACACTACATTGATTCAAAATATCTAGTTATTTTGTATTTTTAAGATCTCAAGTCTGTTTGAGCTAGAGGAAAAGAAAGTCATTATTGAACTCTATGTAGAAGCAACATGGAAATAAAAAGATCAGAAATTTGAGTTCATTGCCAAGTTTCCTCTTAACATTTCTTGGAAAAGAGCTCAACCCTAAGGTGCCATTTCTTCCCCTATTAATCCAGAGTAATATTTTTTTTATTTTTTTCTTTTTATTATTTTTGTGTGCATGTACCATCAAATCAGATCTGACTGGTACAGGAGGAGATTGTCCCTCCTTACCCGGCAGAGCATCTGGTGGATTTGAACAGTTCGCCTCTGGGATTGTAGTTGCAGCTCCTTGCCACTAGGCCACCAGAGCTCCCCTCAAAGTAATATCTTTATCACAGAATTTTGATAACTATTAAGCAATAAGTGTGACTATTTTGGTCCAAAATAAGTTCTCATGCTATTTTCCTTCTCTTCCCCTAAATATAAAATGCATTCTAAAAAATTATTATAAAAACTGTTACCAGAATTATTGTTGTACATAGTAAAAAAAAAAAAAGTTGTACTTCAGGCATATTGTCTGAGCTACCTATATTAATAAATAGAAAACACAATAAAGTACCTTTGGGGACTATGTTCTGGCAGGATTTGCTTAAGAAACTAATTTGATAAACATTTTTAGCAGAGAGCGCTGCAGTCCAGTCATCTACTGGACAAAATGTAAGCACAGACAATAATGTTGACACAGAAGATGAGATAGACTGGGACCAAATTAGAGAAGATGCTTTGAAATGGAAAAAACAGAAGTGGGCAGGTTGGTATCCAATCACATTATTAGTATTAGTGGGGGTCTTTTAATGGAATTATCTATTCTCTTTAAAATGCTTTTTAGTGATAAAACCTTTATTTTAAATGAAGATAGTAAACTTAAAATGCAGTTCTAAGTAATGGGTATGATAATTTCTACATATCTGCTCTATTATTTAAGCTGTAAATAAAAATTTTAAATATTTATTTACATCTTATTTGAAGTGACTCATTTTGAAAAGGTAATAAAATACGAAGGAAATTAGACTCAAAGGGGAAATGGAAAATACATAAGTACACTATTACTTAATGTTAATATAAGTAAGCAAAAATTTGATCTTTGAGTGGCGTTAATGACATGGGTAAAATAAAAAGGGCAAATATTGTTGTTGTTTGCTTGCAACTCACAGCAGCCCTATATACAAGAGCCCTAAACGCTGCTCTATCCTGTGCCAACCTCACCATCTCTGACACTGATTCCCACCACCCCAATCACAGAATCGATCCATCTCATTGAGGGTCTTCCTCTCTTGCGCCATGCCTCCACTCTCCCAAACATGATGTCCCTTTCCAAGGACCAGTCCCTCCTTGCAACATGCCCAAAATATGTCAGACGAAGCTTCAGAATCCTTGACTCCAAGGAGAATTCCAGCTTCACCCTCTCTAGGACAAACCTATTTGTTCTCCTAGCATGGTATATTCAACACTCTTCTCCAACACCACAGCTCAAAGGCATTAGTTCTCTTTCTGTCATCCCTATTCACTGTCCAGCTCTCCGATGCACTGCACATAATTGTGAAGACTATAGCCCGGATCAGGTGCACCTCAGACTCCAGCCTGATGTCGTTGCTCTTCAGTCCTCTTGAGAGGTCTCTGAGAGCTGACTTACCCAATTCAATTCGTCTCCTGATTTCCTGGCTGCTGTCACCAAGAGTGTTGATTGTGGAGCCAAACAAACTAAAACTATTAACTATCTCAATCTTCTTCACCATCCATCCTGATGCTGCCAGTTGGCCCAGTGGTGAGAATCTTTGTTGTCTTGATGTTGAGCTTCAATTTGTATTGAAGGCTGCAGTCCTTGACCTTCTGCAGCAAGCACTTCATGTGCTCCTCAGTTTCAGCAAGCAGGGTTCTGTCATCTGCATGACACAGGTTGTTAATCATTCTTCCACCAGTTCTGATGCTATATTCTTCCTCGTACAGCCCAGCATCTTGGATGATCTGTTCTGCATACAGTTTGAAAAGGTATGGAGACAAAATACGTCCTTGATGGACCCCTTTCTTGATTTTGAACCATGTAGTGTCTCCTTCCTCTGTTCTGACGACTGCCTCTTGGTTCAAATATAGGTTTTGCATAAGCACAATCAAATGTTCTGTGATTCTCATTCTTCTCAGAGTCAGCCATAGCTTGTTGTGATCCACACAGTCAAAGCCTTTGCATAGTCAACAAAGCACAGATAGACACTCCTCTGGTACTCACTGCTTTCAGCTAAGATCCATCTAACATTAGCTCTAATATCCGTAGTACCACAACCTCTTCTAAATCCAGCCTGCACATCTAGCAGTTCTCTGTTGACATATTGTTCCAAACATTTTTGGATAATTTTCAGTAGAATCTTGATTGCATGGGATAGTAATGATATTATTTGATAATTTCTGCACTCTGTTGGGTCACCTTTCTTTGCAATGGGAAAAAATATCGATCTCTTCCAGTCAGTTGGCCAGCTGGCTGTCCTCCAGATTTCTTGGCACAACTTAGCACATCCAGGACAGCGTCTGTTTGTTGAAATATGTCAATTGGTATGCCGTGAACTCCTGGAGCCTTGTTTTTTGCCAGTTCCTTCAGAGCAACTTGAACTTCCTCCTTCATCACCACAGGCTCTTGCTTATATGTTATTTCATGAAATTCTTCTATGTCAGCCAATTCCTTCAGATGCAGTGACTCTGTATACTCCTTCCATCTTCTTGTAATGCTTCTTGGATCATATAACATTCTACCCAAAATATCCTTAAGTATTGCCACCCGTGCCTTGAATTTGTTTTTCAACTCCTTCAGCTTAAGAAATGCTGAGTGAGTTCAGCCCTTTTGATTTTATGACTCCATTTCATTATAGTATCTTGCTTTGTTGTCCCGAGCTGCCTTTTGAAATTTTCTGTTCAGTTCTTTGATTTCTTGGTTTCTTCCTTTAGCTTTGGCTTCTGGGTGCTCTAATGCGATACTCAGAGTTTCATCTGACCTCCATCTTGGTCTTTTCTTCTTCTTCAGCCTTTGTAATGATCTTTTGCATTCTTCATGGACAATTTTCTTGATATCCTCCCAGAGCTCATTTGGTCTACGGTCATTGGTGCTCAAGGCCTCAAACCTGTTCCTGAGATGGTTTTGAAATTCGAGTGGGACAGACTTAAGGTCAAATTTTGGTTCCCATGGATTTGATTTAATTTTCCTCAACTTGGCTTGAACTTGCATATGAGTAGTTGGTAGTCTGTCCCACAATCAGCACTAGGCCTGGATTTCACAACTGATACTGAGTTTCTCCAGTGAGTCTTTCCACAGATATTATCAATTTGAAAAACCCTAGGTACAGTAGCGCACACTTAGATCAGTACTTGGACTAGCAGACATGGCAATTGAGACTGAGATCTTAGAAATGAAAACACAAAGAAGGAGGAGCCAGCTGTAAGGAGACACTAGTATTGGAATGTGGAATGTGAGAAGCATCAATGTAGGGAAATTGGACATTGTTAAGAAAGAAATAAAACACATAAATATGGACATACTAGGTATTGGCGAAATGAGATGGCTTGGCATGGGACATTTTGAATCAGACGGTTATATGATTTACTATGCCCGGGATGAAAAAGTGAGAAAAAATGGGGTTGGTTTCATAATTAAAAAGTCGTTTTTAGATCCATCTTGAAATACAATATGGTGAGCAACAAGGATGCCTATAAGGACGTCCAGTGAATACCACTATCATTCAAATATGTGAACCAAAAACTAGAGCCAAAGAGCAGGAAATGGAAGATTTCTACCAACTTTTACAATCAGAAATTGATCAAACGTGCAGTCAAGATGCATTGATAATATGGGTGACTGGAACGCAAAAGTTGGGAACAAGGAAGAAGGATCAGTAGCTGGAAAACATGGACTCGGTGAGAGAAATGAGGCTGGAGATAGAATGATAGAATTCTACACATTCAATGATTTATTCATTGCAAATACCTGGGTAAATATTAAAGGGCAAAATATTAAATAATGAGAAATAAGCATAACACTTCCTGGGAAGAAGCAAGAGATTTCTCCCCCCACCCCCCTTTGATTTTCAGTGAAACTTCTTATTTGGAACATTGCATATGGGATATAATGTACATTCAGTAAATCCAAGCACTACTTTTGGCTCTCAGAGTGAGGCAGCTATAGAATATCTTTTATTTTAAAACAGTGAGAAACACCATTATCTAATTTTCAGCCATATCACAGACAGGACTATAAGATTAACAGTTATATTAAAGAGGGATGCACTCCTTAGAAAATCAATTACATGAGATCAGAATGGCAGTATTTACCCACAAAACCCCTCAAAAGTCAGGAAGGAATAGGAAAAAAGGATGAATGAAAAGAAATGCAGGGAGGATATGTTAAAAGTGCTATTACATTATATAGGCAATCTATGTCACAACAAAATGTGTAACATTTCTTGAATGGAAAACACATTTGCCTGATAAACTTTCACCCGGATCATAATAATAATTAATGAAAATGCTAACTCACCAATTTGTGACTAAACTACTAAAGATGGTTAATTCCGATTAGCTACTCCAAACATTTAGGAACTGTACTCTTGGGAACTTGTCTCTTCCCTGTGCCTTTGTTGACTAAGTCAAGAAAATCTCCCTCCCAACTAGCTTCAGGAAGAGAGGAGATGGGCACATGGGTCAGCCAGTAGTGCCTACAGAGACTTAAGAAATGTTCTATTGAGACTTTCCCAATTTCCAGTGTCTTTTCACTGAGCAAAATTTCTTGGGCAGCACTTCTAGAACTTTACCTAACCATGGGAGAAACCTCCCCTACCCCCAATCAAATTATAGGGTGGGACAGAGATGAGGGCCTACCACACCTGGACAGAGAAAGAGACACCAGCTCTCTGCTCCTCAAAGGACAACTGGATGAGAATATTACCACAGGAAACAGGGAACAGAGCCAGGCATAGTTGACTAACAGGGAAGACCACTCATGGGAAAGTGAGTAAGTCCAACACTTAAAATTTGCAACTTATCAATAGCAACAAAATTATCTTTCTATGCAGACACATAGAAACTGTCTCACACATGCTAAGAACTTCACTTAATGTCTGGGAAACAACAGGCAATTTCAAACATGAAAAAACAAAATAAACTTCTCCTAAAAAAGACTAGACTTTAGCTTCCATGAACACCCCAGAGACAAGAAGGCAGAAAAATATATTAGCATAGAGTTTACATGAACTGCTACTGATGTTAAAAATCATAGAAGAATTGAAACCATAAAGAGGTGCAAAAAAGGTGCAAAAATTTTTAAAAATCACGAGGCAAGGTACAACCAACACAATTAAAACAACAGAAATTTATGACAATGCAATCCAGAATATCAAAACCAAAATAGTGGAATTTTCCAACATGCTGGAGAGAGAAAAATAAAAATAGAAGAAAAGAGACGGAACAGAGTCAGCAAGGTATAAGACAAGAACCTCAGTGGGAATTGACTGGAGGGGAGGACCACCCAGAGAGAGACAGAGGACAAAAGAAAAAACATTAAAATCCTGGAATCATGTGGGATAATATCAAATGGAACAACATGCTTGTATTTTAATTCTAGAACGGGGCTGGGAGGTGAAAGGAGCACTAAGAAAATTGTGGAAGAGGTATTAGAAGAAAACTTCTGAAGTATCATTAAAAATGAAATTAATCTTCAAGAAGCTCAAAATAGACTAGAATCTAAAACCAAAACATCAAGACATATCATAGTCA